TATGATTTCTGCTTTACGTCAAGCTTTAATTCAAACTTCGGAGAAAGAATCGAGTTAACAGTGTGTCTAAGTAATCATTCATTAGAAATTTAAATTCTGCTCATGGATCACCAATAAAAAAAAGGAGAACTCCGCCCATGGATCACCAATAAAAAAAAAAGAGAACTCCGCTCATGGATGATGCACGTGGTTGAAATCACATTTTGCCAAATACTGACAATGTAAAATCCACTTTTGCTACTGGAAGTACTCACATTTTTCCGATATGTGACAAAACGGTTCACTGCCATGCTTTTCTTCAACCTATACTTGTTAGCATTAGCACTATTATGTACTCATGCATGCTCTTGTCATCAATTGCGTGTCATTATTGGCTGTGTCTAAAATTTCTGAAAATATTCTTTAGGGCGGAAGAGCACGAGCATGTTTTTGAGCAGTTCCAATTGGATTACATCATTACCATTATCATCTTTTCTGTCGTGCAGGATAACTGCTGGAAGCGGTAGTTTTACCCTGCTATTATCCGTGACACTGGCTGTCATGCAGTTGGAATTCTTGAGGTGTTGACCTTCATGAATCAAAAGACCTCATCAAATTCCAGAAGAATTGACCTTGCATATATACGTTTGTGTTAGGTTCCTTCTGAGTTTTCTTTTTTTCTTTTCTCATCTACACCAATTATTTTTAGGTCCTTGGCTATTCATTATACATAGATATTATAACAGTGAGTATTATTGAACTTGAAGATAAGTTGCAATCTATTAGTACAGGAACTCATCTAAGTACGTTGGTGGAAAATTATGTCGAAAATAGTTGTTCAATAAGATCAATTGTTTTGCTGGATAGTATCTTCGCAGTTCATACCAGTAATGAGGTAAAACTATCAGCTTTTCTGGGCTCATATGGTTGATCTCACATGATATTTCTGTCTCAAGTGGACTCAAATGGTTGTATCTGCCAATTATGCTGTACCACTTGTGGACATCAGATAGATACTGAAACTGTGATCGGAGCACGGACTTTTGTTATGTTGTTCCCAGCTCAACTTCAATATTATGCCATGAGACCTCTAGATAAGGTAAAATATTGCCAAAAGTGCATTGTACATGACTTTGAATAGAAGTACAGAGGCATTAGACAAAGTTACTGGGGAAGAATACAAGCACAATTATAAGCTGAGAGGCTAATTGGCAGTTTCATCTTCAGAAAAAGGAGGGGAAGAACCTGAGATTCACACTTCTCCTAAACCAATTGGAGTTCTCAAATTAGAGCGGTATACAAATTACACATGGTAAAAATTTACCTGGGGTTTATAATTAACAAGCAAATAAAATGTCTAGACTTTTATCACTTGACCATTGGTAAGTGATATGGAATATGGATAAACTGTTTTGTTTAGCGCAAATATCACGTGCATGTAAGTGTTTTCCACATTGTGGGGAATCCTAAAGAGTGAATAAATGCAAAAGAAAAAGCGCCATCTCCTGCAGAGGTTTGGTCTAGCGGTAAGAGCGCAACAGATAATGTGTGGGCTAGGTGTACTTCGCAAGTTCAAACTCTACCATAAACAAAAGTCTTGTATCTAAGTGGTGATAGGTGTGTGTGTTTGGGGGGGGGGNCCTTGAAAAGTCGGTTCTTCGTTTTTCTTTTCTCTTATTCCCCTCCGTTGAAATGAGATCATCCTAAATAGGGCACTTGTTGTAATACTTATAAGGTCCACATCTTGAGTTGGTTTCTATCATTTATTTCCAGGAGAGTGAACTCCTTTTCATGGACAATCTACTCAAGCAGAGGCGGATACAATGTGTCAGATAATTTTAACGTGGAACATAAATTTATGTGTAAAGTTTCATTAATATTGTAATGTATAGCAGTATGAACCCATAACTTTAAAATACGATGGGTTCAATGCTAAAATCTTAAATGTTGAACCCATAAAACTTAAATTTTAGATCCACCTCTGCACTCACTCCTTTTGCATGGAAATAAATAAACAAAGAGTAATAAGAGGAGAATGGTGAAGGTAAATGCTAATGTACTAATCATACATTATTAAGTTAACTAATTCTTCGTTTTGGTGAAGATACAAATGTAAGGTATTTTAATTATATTTAATTAACCGTGACATTAACAAACAGCCGTCTTAGCTCAGCTGGTAGAGCGCGTGGCTTTTAACCACGTGGTCGTGGGTTCGATTCCCACAGACGGCGACATCTGCTGTTTGATGTGTTTTCTTTTTGCATTTAATTATATGCTGCTGAAAACTCATTAAATTACTCACAAGCGGATTGATAAGAATATTGTTAAATGGTTTACAAGTTTTGACGAACTGACAAAACTTGATATTATCTTTTTTTTTTTTAATAGTGTAAAATAAGCTCACCAAAATTGATTCTCATATTATATTACACAACTCGACCATCTAATCTGAAATATTAAAGCTATGGACCAAACGTCCCAAAACAAATCCCATCAGATATTAAAAGAAAAGCGCATTCCCCTTCCCAAAAGAAAAAGGCAAGAAATTGCAAATAAATTCCAAAGTATCAAAGGCAAGTAGATTAAAATGGGGAAATATTCTTAAAGACAAGTCAAAGTAGATCACAACAGGTTTAGCGAATAAATTCAGCTAAAATAGAGTTATTACGTGTAATCATTACCGGATTTTAAACCACAAATTAATCTCTGAGCAACAAATTTTAACTTAAAATATACAGCAAGTTGACTAACAAGTAGGAAAATATTTGTTAGATTTATTCTCTCTTTCGAGAAGAAATATTTGAAAGATAAGGGGGGTATAAATTCCCATTTGACCTATCCCTAAATTTTAACTCTTTCGAGTATTGGAGAATATCTTGATTTGTTCTTTATTTGCCAATTTTGACTGATATCTATGTAGAACCTAAGCTTAGATTTTCTTTTTGACGACGGAAGACAAAAAGGGCATAAATATAGATGCTTTAGGACGAGGAGCGTCTGAAGTCTCTTAAGAAATGACAAAGATTAATTAATATTATGTTTACGTCGGTTCGTATTTAAAAAAGTTCGAGTCAGAAGCATCACTAGCTTATGCTCTGACCTGAATAGTTTTACCCTGTAAAATAGAACATTTGAATTTGTTACGTGGTTTATAGACAAGCGAACTGATTTGATCCAAATGATAAATAAATTAGATTAAAAAAAACACTAAGCTTTAAAATCAAAGGAAATGACATGCCTGACTCCGATAGCAATGCTTTTGTGGAAAGAAGTAAGAGCAATATTAGACAGAAAGTAAAATTGTATTATTTAGCTTGAGAATAAAGTTTAGCATAAGTTTTTCAAGAGACGTGTTTACAATGGTTGTTGATGTCACTATTTGTAGCTATACCTAGGAAACAAGATCCTAGGAACAAGCCCTCTTAAATGACAATAAAGGGGGCTACTGATCAAAACGTAACGGCAGACCATGAATGCCAAAATTCTCTGAAACGACTGCCTATTGAATACTAGGGAATATTCTTCATTAAACCATCTCGTGACAAACATTTGACCTAATTTATCTGCTATTATTGCATTCATAGCAAACAAAGGAGAAATTGACATATATACAATAACATGATCAAGAAGCTCCTTCTGGCTCCTTCCTTAGCTAGTAGATCCGCTACTCCGTTCTGCTCCACAACCCATTTGTTATCTCTAGCTGAAATAAAACTTGTAGTGAGGTATGTACAACGGGACTGATAATGGCATCAAGTTATTAGATTGAATTACACAACCTTTATTTTGGTCATTGTTTAGAACATAGAATTTAGGGACTAATTAATTACCTCAAAGGTATTTGTGCTTGTTCCTATTTGGAATCGTTTTATTACAAAATGTATATGTAGTAAAATTGCGATTAGAGCTTAAAATTTGACTCAATCTTGAAACAACAAATACGCCGACAAAAGAGTAGTACCATTTCAGTGATGTGAAATTTCATTGTCTTTCATTTAATTAGTTGATAGGCAAAAACTGTCGTTTCTGTTAGCACTTCTTAGCCATAGGTTATATATATGATGGTAAGTGGCCAATTGATTAAGACATTAATGAGGAATTCTGAAAGGGAGTCTCACGCCATATTTAAATGGGACGGAACTAGAGTATAGATTACAGGTCCAATAGCTTTGATTCCGATAAAAAACGGGGCTAGAATTTGAACGTTATAGGTTTGGGATTATAATCATATTAAGTTATTGGGTTTTAAATTAATAATTTTTTCATATTCATTGAATTCTTTAATACAAATATAGGGTTTGAACAAAAGTTATTGGGTTCGACCGAACCCGCAATCAACACCGTGGCTCCGCCCCTAATTCAGATTCTGTATTTATTGTAAGAAATTCGTTGAATATGTAAAAGTTAATATTAATTTAGGTCTGAGAACACAAACACGTAAAAGAACTAAAATTCTGAACACATAAATTTCAACTCCTAGTTCCGCTTATGTACTTACTATCATATTCTGTTGCATGTTAAAATTCCTTTTCGCTTATTTAATCGCTGCTTGCTTTTTCATTAAAGACACGATTCGGAAAGAAGAGAAATGATACAAAAAACAATCAATGGAAAACAAGAGAGCTACAAGTAATAAAATATAGGATTTGCAGTATAAAAATATATATTCATAAAGCTTAGGCAAGTAACTTTCCATTACATCAATATTAATATGCAAATAAAGCTGAAGGCTACAAGTTTTCCCTAATTTTGGTCCTGTTGCAGCTGCTTCAGTCTCTATAGCTTTTTCACTTCACCTTAACCAGGTTTAACTTTTACCAACACCCACATCATCACATAAAGGTTAAAAAAACCCAAAAAGTAAAAAATAAAATACAAATCCATTCCCCAGAAAGTTGATAAAAAAAGAAAAAGAAAATAATTTCCGCATACTTCAAATTTTCCCAGATAAAAAAGAGAAAAAATGAAAGCAGGAAATTGTGTGAATTTTTCTATTTTCTTTTTATAATAAGATAAAAGAACATTTTTTTTTCTTTTATAAGGTCAGTATAATATTATCCTTTTTTTTTTTTGAAATTAAACCCGGAAATTCTTACCCTGGAAAGTCTGACCAAATTGCCAATTAGCTGGTGCTATATCATAAGAAGCAGAACTGCGTCGATCACTGGCCGTGACTCTAAAAGAAAGGGCTTGGCCAACAAGTAAAGCATTGGTTTGCCAATTTTGACCCCAATTTCGATTCATTGCTATCCAATTGGTTTTTGTACCTTTAACATAAACCTTCTGAATATCCCCTGCTCCTGCCACATTTGTCACTAATACCAAGTTAAAGTAATTAAAACCGTTGACTGTGAATCTGATTCCTCCTTGCTTTCTGCATGGTACCCTGTAAAGAATTTAAAAAAAAAAAAAACATTTTTAGTAAAAGACTATGAGCTAAGGGATCGTTTGGTAGGGTGTATAAGACTAGTGCTGCATAAGCTATATTAGTAATGTATGAGTTAGTAATGCAAACATTGATTATGCAGAGATTATTTCTTATCCACTGTTTGGTATGATGTGTAAAATTTAAATGCATTGCATAATTTTTAAGAAAATTAATCATTTACAAAAATATCCTCCATATTCTTTAGCTTTAAGGGACTTTAAGAATAATTTTGTCTTTAACCATGCTGATGCATGCATTAATAGCCTTGATATTGCTAATACCATGTGCTTTGTATTAGTTATATATAGGATAATACCAAATATGTTGTATCACTAATACTTGCATTAGTAATACATATGTTGAAAAAAATGTACTCCCTCCGGTCCAAAATAAGTGATTTTTTGGCCTTCTTTTTGTGGTCCAAAATAAGTGATTTTTCCAGATTTCAAGAATGAATTAACTATTTTTTTCCTACATTGCCCTTGGAATAAATAATATTGGAATATGTGTTATGAGTGTTTATGTGAAGAGATAGTAAAGGTTAATATGGTCAATCTCATTGCTAATTAATGTTAAAAGGTAAATTTCTTAATATGTATTAAAACAACCAAAAATCACTTATTTTGGACCGGAAGAAGTACCAAACAAGAGATTAGTATTATTTTCTTTAATGCACCTACCAAACGACTACTTAGGGTGCGTTCTCATAGACCGTACCAAGTTAATAAAAAGTCATTCGTATATACATTTAGTCATTTAAATATGAATATATTTTCCCAATTTCTTTATAATTTTTTGGGATTAATTTATTCAATTTAATAAAAATATCGAATGCAGTAAATAATACTATCTCCTAATTAATACCGTACAATATGGTCGGGACTCAACAAGCGTATGGGACAATGTGCACTATGTAACCTCAGAAACACATACACTAAAATCTAAGCAGGGCAGATCCCAATTTTCCTGGATTACTGTTTTGCATGTCTCAATTACCTTTCTACCCCTCAGAAACACCTAAAATAGCAACTTTGACGCTCCCTATTATTAAGGGCACATGTGACAAAGATAGGAAATTCGTTCTTTAATTGGGTCAATTTACAAGCAAAATATAGCTATGGATAGGGGACCATACTAAATTTTACTATGATTTGTGGGTTGTGGTATAGCAAAGCTATTCTTATGTAGGCCTAAAAAGACCATTTCATCTATGTTCAATATTTTTTTCTTGGCCAAAAGTATTTTTTTGGATAAAAGTTTTTTTATTCCAAAGCTAAGGTGTTTGGCGAAAAAAGTGCTTTTGAGTAGAAGTAGAAACAACTTTTGAAAAGCAGAAAAAAATAACTTTTTTTAAAAGTACTTACAAATACTTTTTAAATTAAACTGTTTTTAGAAGCTTGACGAAACATGCTATAAATCTTGTCAAACAGTTCACAGCCGTAACGAGATCATGACTAATCAAATACCCAAACAAATAGGAGTAATGCAAAGCAATAACAAACAAAGTGCATTAGCAAAAGATGAATTTATAGCTTAGGCACTTTGACTAACCGTCGGTAATTTACAGGAACAATTCCAGCACGGTACTCAGCAATTTTGAGGAACATAGGCATGGCGAGGTCGAAATGGGGTCGAGGTGGGTTGCACCACCCTCCATTATCGTTAGGCAAGGCGTAGTTTGGTGGGCAGAAATTTGTAGCAGTCACTAATATGGAAGGGTTCCCAGGGGTGCACCATTTCTGGTCAGTACATTTAAGCTCAAAGCAAGCGCCGCAACTCAGCCCATTGTTGAAAAGTACTGTACTCAGTGCTGCATTGTTCACTCCGTAGCCTTGGCTGTACAGATTCCCATATCCACAAGCACCACCTAGGAAAAAAAACACCTAGTGTTAAATCATGAGCACAAGCGGAGTTAAGTTATTGAGTTTTAAATTAATGATTTATACATACTTCATGAATTTTACGAGATAAATACAGAGTTTGAATTTGGATCAATTGGATTCGGCCAAATCCGGAAGGGAAGGGCTAGCTCCACCCCTGCCCATCCGTAACCTTCTAAAATGAGTATGTATGACTATAGTTATCTTATTAAAAGTAAATTAAGAAGTTTGAAATAAATTATTTCTTTAAAAAGTATAATTTTTTTTTTGAATATACTAAATAGTCTGTTTGGCCAAACTAAGGCTAAAAGCACTCGTTTACAAACAAAAAAAAATAAAAAAAAATTTAAAGTTAAAAGTGTTTGGCCAAGTTTTAGAAAAAAAGAAGAAGTAATTTTGAGTAAGGAGAAGCAACTTTTGAGAAATAAATAAATGCATTGAAAAATATTTTGAGAAAATATAATTAAAAACACTTTTTAAAACTTTGGCCAAACAATAGTAATTGCTAAAAAATATTTTTCAAATTAATTAGTCAAACATAAAAATTACTTCACACCAAAACTATTTTTTTTTTTTCAAAAAACACTTCTAAACATTCATTTTAGAAATTTGGTCCAATAAGCTATAAATATGCCATATAAATCGGGGG